ACGAAAAATACAGACGTTGGTAATATTTTAAAATTGCCTTAATATTGCCTACAAAAATATACACATAATAAAGACTGTAGGACTCTATACAAAAATTGTAATACGATCTTCACAGGACACCTTATCACAAAGTCATATAATCAGTGGCTCAGAATAATAGTAATCTAACTCCTATTTCTGAGTTTTCAAGACAAATACCTTTGTGGAATATTCTTGGATTAATTTAACATTAATATTAAAGTTACTAATTCTAAAAATTAATATTACAAATAACATTGTTATTAATAAACAATTAATCACATTAATAATTAACCATAATTAATATTATCACTGACATTCAATAACATTCAATAATATTCAACTAATCTAAGAAGATTCCACAAACCCCTTTATCAAGAACTCAGAAATATAGTTAGATAAGTAACTTGAACCCACTCAATTATCACGGTAATATGCCCCCTTCAATACCATACAGCTTCCATCCAAAACATTCCTTCCTACATCCAGTACCTACAAAAGTAATCACGCGATGATACGTAAGACGGGCATAGTCCATGAAGGGATGCTAGAGAAAACAATCAGACGGTTCACGAGTGGATGCAAAATATAGAGTGAGAGTGAGTAAGTCGTCGACTGGCCACGGTCGATTGGCTCCCGACCTGGGGATCGACGAAAGGAAAAAGGCAAGAGAATTTTCGTTCGCACTCGAGGATTCAAGGGCCTGGCGTGATACTGGCAGGCGATAGTCCTGTGGCGGCAGGGGGTGGATATGAGGGGGTGGGATGTTGCAAAGGCGGTGAGGGGCGGAGAGGGTGATAGCTGGCGGCAGGATGCACGAAGAAGAGGAAGCGAAAGGAGAAAGGAGGACCGGCATCGTCAGAAGTTGGAAGCTACAATGGCAGTGTGTCTTCTGGCGCCTTCGAGTCTCCTAGACACGCCTTCTAACATGGGCATCTGCAAGAACTTATCCTCCGCTCGCCGCGGCGTTCTTCCATATGCCACGATTCTGTAATCCGCGCCTTCCCCGACGATCATTACTCACCCTATCGCGGAGATTTTGCTGCGAGGTAGGCGTGGAGACGCAGATTACGGGCGTATTTACACGTTACTTTCGTGTCTCGTGTTCATTAAACAGATCGATAACTTTTTTCATTCGATGCTCTTGGATGTTGAACGAGTTTTAAGTCCCATCGAGTTTCAAACAATCGTTCAATCTTGGACTTTGGAATTTCGACCTTTTTTTTCTTTTTAGATGCATTGAATGTTATATAACCGGGGCTAATCTTGGAAAAATGTTAACATGCTGTGGATATTTTTCAAATTAAGTGTTTGTATATAATATTCATTGTTTCTTTGTGATACTTTGTATTATTCTTTTATGAGTTTTTTAATATCTTATTTTTTAAAAGTTATTGATTGAGCTTTTGATTTAATTAATTAATAGTGATTGTATTTTGTTAATTATGTGCTGTGATGTTCTGAAATGTCAATTTCTGTAACGTTTTTGTATTAATTATGATTAATTATATTTTATTCATTGTACCTTATGTTTCATCCCTTTTTAAGTTGCTTAATATTATCAATGTATATCTTCGATAAAAAAATTGCACGTGAATAGTTCGTAGTTTATAGCTTCCTTTTGCAGTTTGTTACACACGAGTCGGCGTTTATATTGTATTTGTAGTATGGGAAATTTATACGTGTACATTGTTGTACAATATTCTTTAACTTTATGGTGTATACAAGATTTATGACGACACAACGCAAGTCTTCAATATATAATCCTGATCGTTTCGCGTTTATAGGTCTATTCAGTTCAGCAGGAACATGATTAATATCGCTTAACGGTCTACCGTAATCACAATAGACGTAGCTTCGATGATCCCTAATCTTACAATTAGTCATTAAGTGTACCGTGGTTCCCGTTGATTGAATAATCGACATTCAGCGTCAATCGACGAATATTCGGAATATTGTGTGAAATATTTCAAACGTGTGATTGATGGACTTTAATGGAAACAGTGATAGGCAAAATTTCATCTATTTAACGATCGGTTGTCTTTGTCATTCAAATCCGATGCCCCTTTAATCGTTGTTTGTTGTTAATTTCAATCGGAACGCCAATTGCTACACGCATTCGAGCAATTAACGTATCAATTGTAACAGGTACTAATTAATTGTAACTGAGTTTCCACCCTGCATATTTTTTTTCGTTTTGCTTTAAATGGTTACACGGCGTTGCAGAAATCTTTTAATTATTTTTTTCGCAATATAGCGAAACAGTTACTAACTTACAAAGAAGTGTTTAATTCTTGAATTCCTAAACTGTTTAAAAATGAAAAAAAATAAAATAATTCTGTAAGAAATAATAAAAAAATAACATATTTTTTTATATTTTTAATTTTATAATTTTATTTTTATTTGTATTTGTTCAAAAAAATGTATTTTTGCGTATTTGTATGTACATATATGATATAAAGTATGAATGGTAGCAAGATATTTTTTTTTAATCGTCCTTCGATTTTCTTGTTACGTAATAATAATTGATTTAGGTATACAACTATACGTGCATGCATATTCATATAACTTTCTGCAACTTTTTTATTTTAAAACATATTAAAGCTTGTCCAACTTTTTCCAATATAGATTTTCAGTGGATTATCTTGCACGATCGCTAAAGATGATATTATTGGATACATGAAGGCATACGAGATTATATTACATACATAGCAGGGTATAGAAGATACGATAACATTTCCGTAGAACATCAGCCTCTCTGATTACGATATTGATTTTATTTTTATAAGAAATATTAGCAATTTGTGGAGTCATTTAAAACGTGAGCAAAGACTTCAGATTTTAATCTTAAGCTTGATTTTTATTTTTAAGTTACGTTGCTGTAAGCGACAAGTTCAAGTTATTGACCAGTTGACTATATGATTACACGTCAATCTTTGAAGAAATTTTCTACGGTAGCTTCGTTTCCTGTTTACTTTCGAAACTTTGTATATTGTGACTGAAAGTGGAGTAAAAACAAAACTTATTTGCTGAAAATCTTAAGATGTTTTTTTAACTATTGAAAAGCTAGAGAATGTTTTAGTTACAAAATATTTAATAAATGTACCGTTTTCCTTGATTTATTCTTTTCATTTGATTTAAATGAATTTGCATTGAAGAAGAAAGTTATAATTGATCATTTAATGTATTGCACCTTTATATTATTTTTACCAAGGAAAATTCTAAACGTTACGATGTTTTGGGAACGATGTTTTGTGCTCATGTGACCGGAAACCATTGTTACGTAATTGTGGTAGCGAAATTAATTGTTACTCCATTCGTAGAAATGAAAGTGTATTATTAAACAGTTTGTAAGGAAATACAGAGATTTAAATGACAACAAAGTGGACTTTTCCATATGGAAGCAAACGAAAAAGTTCGAGTGATTCTTTTTTGTTGGAATTCGTTGCAGAGTTGCTAAAGAACATTGAGAATAAATATGTTTCCGTGTTTTCTTCTAAAATTTTTAATTATTTCTGATATATTCTATAAGTATAAAATATATAAAATTATTATAGAATAAAAGATGTTAATGTTTCAATTTCAATCCATATTTTTGAGATGTTGAAAGTAGTATTATTTATTAACTACTAATTACAAAAGAATGGGTACAGTTTAAAGTGTTCAATTTTCACCACATTCCTTACTGATTTGAAGTTTTAAAAAAACGTAAAAATTAATCTAGACACATATTTTTAAATGTATTAAAATTCATATGGTTCATTCACAGTTTCATAAAGATGATAATAAAAAATGTGTAGTCAAATCTATTTATATTGTATAGATCAACTGTATTATAATTCACAATACAATTAATCCCTTGCTTTATAACAATGTTTCAGACCCGTATTAAAGATTTTAAAGAGAATTGAACTATCATAAATATTACTCAGCCCCTCTGAATTCAAATTAAACTTTATTTTCTGGTTACCTATAATTCTCCTTTAGAGTGTACATAAACATAGAATATGTCTAGAATTGATCTCTTTCTTCAAGAAATTATTAACGACAAAGTAGTTGTATTGACTACAGTTGAGAAATAAATCCATAAAGCAAACCCTTAACCTCTTGCCCTACAACATCATGTCAGACGCGTGGTGGAGATATGAAATAAAATTTAACAACAAAAGTATTATTCAATTTGTTTGAATACAAATTACATATTATTCCTCTATTATAAATTACTATTCCCTAGAACACACGTTAACATAGAATAAGACTAGAATCTTCTCTTACTTTCAATAAATTATTAATAACAAAGTAGTCACATCGATGGCAGTTTAGAAAGCAATCATAGAGCAAGGGGTTAATATTACTCAAAAATCTTATCAACAAAAATTACTGTCCTTCATCACTCGAATATCATCATAAACTCCGCATTTATCCACTACAACTCCATCAACCCAAACAACTTTCTCAAACACCAAAGAACATTCTAAACAGCAATTACTAGAAGCCGTTTGAAAAAGGGCGAAGCCCATTAATCGACATTCGAAACGGCAAATTTCCCTCGATACCCGAACCTTGCCCAACAAATCTCTAGATCAGATCGCCCTCACCGTTCCGTTGAACCGTGCGGATCGTCTCTCAGTGATTTCGTTAGATCGAGAGGCAGCTCGTCGAAAGACGTCACAAAGAACGCTCCACAGGTGCGCTTCCTCCGTCGTTTAACAAGCAAGCAAAGCGTTGCTTGAAACGCCAGGGTCGCTACAGCGATAATTAATCGTCACCTATTGATAAGAGATAAGTGAGTGGGATTAAGGGCGCGCGGCAGAACGGTCGGGGAGGGGATGACGGTGTTGGAGAACGGTCGGGGCTCAAGAAACCCCCGAGCGTCTGCGCGTGGCGGGAAAAGGGTAGCCTGGTAGGGGACGAACGGATGCGGCGTGAAAGCAGACTGAAGGGAGAGGGGAAAGAGAAACACGCTCTCGGGGGCTCGCGGAGTCGTGATCCCTCAGTCGGGATGCCGGTCGCGTATCCTCTCGTCTATTCGGTACCGTGATGATCGGTGAACGTGTGAAGTGTGTTTTAGGGACCATCGGGAACCGCTCGCGGCTCCTCGCGGCGGTTCTCCTGTTATCGATATTTACCGGAAGTGCTTGGACCGACAACTTCACCGGTTCCGGTGAGTGCGTAGATAAGAGAAATCGCGAACGGTACCGCTGGTGAACGGGCGTCTTGATCGATGACTGATTGCGGGATTGATGGATAAGGCTGGAACTATATACCACTCTGTTTAAAAAGGTTTTGATTTGTTTGTTTATTGGAAAATGCAAGGGAACATGTATGATTAATGGAGCACGAAGTGTGAAACAGTGGAAACAGGACCTAAAGAATCTTTCGATACGATGGATAAAGTTCAAATGATATGAACAGTGAAATTTGAGGAATATTTTTTTTACCGAATGTCTAGGCATGTTTGAATTAATGGGGAGTATATAGATTTGATTAATTAATCGATTGGTTTTGATGTACAGGTTGACTGGATGAGTGTTTGTAGTCTTATTTATAAACATATTCAATCTACTCATCATAGTGTCTTTAGTATGACTGTGATTCTTCTGGTTGTCAAAAGTCTTGGAAAAATGTCTAGCAATCTTCTTGAAGACCAAAGAATTAATGAGAAATTTGTCGTGAAACTCCAGGAAAAAGGACCAATGTGTTGATACGTTAAAAGAAGAGTATGTAGAGAGTGCCATGAAGCCAGCAACCGTTTACAAATGGGTGAAAGGTTATTAAGAACGCCGAGAGGACGTTGGAAGATGATGATGCTCGTGAGAATCGACCTTCCATCTCGCACACTAATGAGAACACTGAACGTACTCACCAACTTGTATAGTCAAACAGGTGAATCGTTAACTAGATGATCGCTAAAGATCTTAATATTAGTTCAGAAAGTGTGAATTGGATTTGAAAAAAATGGAACATCGAATTTCGTTGATGTAAATGATCGAGCTTTTTGAACAGAGTGGTATGTATACATTAAAGCTGGTGAGAACCGCATGGTCTGAATCGCTGATCCGATTTTGTCCATTCGTGCTACCAGGGAACTGTTTTGCACGTGTCGAAGATACGCGTGAGAATTTCAATGGTCATACATGCGCTCATATATTGGATACATGCGCGACCAGTCGTATGAGCTAGAAACAAACAAACTGATTCTCTTCCGTGACACAATTCGTTTGTTTGAAAATATTTTGTTGTTAATCCTTAAATTGACCTACAGTTGGTCTGCCAGACTGTTCGGAATTTTTATTTATCTGCATTTTCTTTCACGCATTACCTGTAACGTTGAAACAACTGACTTTTAACACTAAAACTACTTAGCAGTTAGAGTAATTTATTTCCAACTGTTTATAAAAATTAGAACAATAGTTTTCTTAAGATTCAAAGGGTCTCCTAGGTTTGTATCTGTACAGATCCACAAATTTAATTGAAAATCTTTCGCAAAAACACAAAATTCTCAAGTGGGTCAATTTGACCGATCCGGTAGTTTTATTGTTAATCACACCCTGTTCAATCACTGAAGTTATGGATAGTTTGTTTTTGTTTGTGTTTTAGCATTGATTTACAATTCGCGAGCAGTCTGAGAGACGGACTGTAGCTCCTAAAATTAAGAATTAACAATGGTGTTTGATTTATTGGTGAAGTGTATGTATGATTTTGTTTAGTACATTGATGTTTGCTAACACGTCTGTGATTGCCGATACCGAACTGTCATTTTGGGATATGACAGCTGTACCTATTCTTTCAAGTGATAGAAATGGTTTTTATAGAATAAAATATGAAAAAGGAATTTCAAAATTTTTTTTTATCTGACATGATGTGCGCGAACATGTTAAACAACTATCAGTATTTTGATTAAAAAATACAGTGGATCGAAAAAGTATTGGTACCTTTTTAAAGTACCCTTTATGCAGTGAGCTGATATATTAATACTATGTCCTTTAGTAAAATTAAATGTAAAATATGTAAAATAAAATATCAAAAAAGAACTTAAAAATATTGTTTTATCTAACATAGTGTCCGCGAACACGTTAAACATCTGTCACTATTTAGATTAAAAAATTCAGTGGATCGAAGAAGTGTTGGTACTTTTTTGAAGTACCCTTTACGCGGATATATTAATATTATGTCCTTCAGTGTCTTCTAATCTTTCAGAACCCTCAATACTGTAGCTTAAAGAAATTATGAGAAGAAATGAGATTTTCGTATTTAAAATACATATGCATGATCTATATATTGTATATAGATCATTTAGTATGATAAATCCTATCGGGCTAAAGTACTAGAGGCTTTTAAGAACTCCATGAATTTTCTTTATTAAGTAATAATATTATTACATTTATTACAAATAAAAATTCATTAGTTGTTACACACTCAAAATTGACTGCAACACTTGGCTATTAAAACAATATCGATATGTTGTTACTGTGCAGGAAAGAAAGTTCGGATACACGTAGGAATTCACCTTGACAGTTAAGGATTAACGTTGACACACGTCACGGAGATATAATAGAGTAAGAATTCGTGGGATGGCAGTTTGTGCCGTCTCTTATCTTCCCTCGGAAGTGATCGAACTGTTCGGAAAGCTCGCGTATGCAGTTAGAAATAGCAGGTTCCACGTTTCACGCGCCGGTGCGTTTGGTTTTTACGGTGATTGCATCGACGTAGGCCCGAAAAAGCGAATGTAAACACGGGCAAGTGGAATTTCGATGTCGTCCATTAAAAGCATGACTTGTGCGTTCGATGTTCCTTCATTTCGTAAATCGTCGTCCGAATGGGTTCCAGTTGTTATGTGATTCACGTTCGTGTATTGGTGTATGCGGTGTGTTTACAGCGCGGACGTTAAAAGAATGCCTCATTAGCCGGAGTAAATACTTTCTCGCGCGGAAGTTACGATAACGTTCTGGCATTGTTACGAGCAGACTACGGATCCTTTATGCAAATTCAAATTTTTCAGAACATCGAAAAATAGAATTACAATGGAAAATGGGTTTTCGTAACGAAGATTGTAAAGAGTATTACATTTTTGATGTTTAATCAAATTTGCATTCGAGGGCTCCAGAGTAGAACCATTTAAAATTTACCATTACAAATTGTAAAATTTTATATTTATAATTGATAAAAAACAGTAAAATACATCTATGACTTTTTTTTTCATGCGCGTATCATTTATTTATATGTTGATATGCTTCTTCTATTAAAATTATTTCGAGTTGTTGGTAATGTCAGTGAGAAAAAGCTTCGAGTGCAAAGGTTTAATCAAATTTGCAGTAGTTATAAGGATATTTGATAATCTAGCAATAATCCTTATTTCATAAATTAATTTCTTGCCGTATGATAAAGAGTGAAGCTCGCAGTGAAGATTTTAAGGAGAATGTACCAAACATAAATGTTACTCGATGTTTGTGAATTTAAATTAAATACTGTTTTTCTATTATCAATTGTTGTACTTTAGAGCAAACATAGGCATAGAATATTCCTAAAATTTTTCTCTTCTTTCAATAAATTCTGAATGGAAAAGTAGTTAAGGTCAAGCTTAACTCCAGCATAATACTTTTTGTAGACTACTTTTATCTAGACGAAGATGTTTAGAGTAATACATGATTCATATTAATATCAACAAGCAATTACTAGATAGTGGTTGAAAGTGTGAATATAAAATTGCCGCTAATGATGGATACAAGATATTATAATACAGTTTTAATGCCACGAACGTCACCATTACAATCGAGGTTGTTTCGTATATCTGGGCTCGTGATATGTTGCGTATGGTGTATACATGTAACAACTAGGAACGTAGTTTCACGTTGTTATCGGTGAATACAATCACGTGCATTTTCGAGATTTCGGCTAGAATCGCGTACATGGCTCGCAGGAATCTCGCTGTGCGAACCATATGCTTTAGAATTCATTCCTCTGATGTGCTTTTTTATCCGACACGATGTGTACAGTTTCCTCTTCATACAGTTGTTTAGTGCTCAATCCTTTACGGTTTCTCTTCGTTCTTATTCCGTATTTTTCCTGAGTTACACGTCCATTGTTTCCGCTTTAAAATTGTATTTGTTTCTTAAATTTCTTGCTTTTACCATGTTCGTTGCTTTTAATAGTGGTTAAGTGATAAAATATTCCCTTCGGTGTATATCAGTGTTTTGTGGAGGTATATTGTTTGTACCGCGCAAAAGATTTATGTATAGCTTTACAACATTTAAATTTTAATACTCTCAAGGCTTTCCTTAAAGGATTATTTTTATTCTCTACAATAGTTAAAGTTAAAAGTATTCACACGTAAATATGTTAATGTGTTTTTTATTTAATATGTAATTACAGCAAACTAGAAACTCTGTTTGTATAAAGTAAGATAGTAAAAAGGAATTTCAACGAATATTTTAATATTTCATAGTACTTTGTCACAGTAAATTAATTGAATTTTCTTTATTACCAATTTATTACCAATAATTCTACCATAACATTTTTTAAAATTCATTTTATATCTGTTCGATTATTTTGATTCGATATACTTATGTATTTTCATTTATCAATAATTTATTCATCTATAAATACTAAATACCCACTACTATTGATCGAATTACATACTCATTTTTTTCTTACTTTTATTTACAGTGGTTGTTTGGAAAAAATATATTATTTAACACTAGAACTGCCGAGCATTTAATATGATTCACATGTAACTCTTGTAAAACTTGTAATCATTTTAATCATTTCGTAGTGAAAGTAATGCGCGTGTAAATAAAAATCTAGTAAATATTAAGATGCACAAGTTTAATAAAGATATATGTTTATGTTTAAAATGAAAGCAACTGTCTTATTAACATGATACCGCGTTCTCATGTGATTGTAGACAGTTGCCACGAACATAAAATGTCCTTTACTCTAGGGTAACCTCTTTTCGTTTTTGTGTTTTAGATCTTATTAAGTCTTCTTCTCGCGACTACGTGCGCTGCGTGATTATCTTGAAACTTTGAAACGTTATTTCTTTAGAGTTACCTTTCTCCTACACATTTTATATCACGTAAACTCTCTGCTTAGCACGTTCACTGGTAATATTTTCGTGTACCATGCATTTTCATTTTATAATTTTTATGAAAATTTCTTTTCTAC